GCAACAGATGAGACAAGCAAACGTTTGGCATTCTGAGTAGAAGACAAGCTGTTAAACAGTGCAGCGTTCATTACGCGAACACCTCAGGAAATGGAAATATGCACTTGTTGCTTTCTCTGTCGATTGATTCTAAAACAAACAAAAGAGACGACGGTGAGTCAGCTACCCTCAGAGTAGCGACCTATTTTGAATAGGCGAACCACCTCAGTTGCAACTTGCGAGCTACGTACTAAGCTCGCCAGACATCTTTTCAGTGCAGTTCAGTGCAGAAAAACCAGAGCTACTAGGTTGGAGGCCACGCTAGTAGGTTGGAGGCCATTGTAGGAATATGTTCACACTTCAGTGCGGAAGATTAACTCTGTGGCTACCACCCGCAGGACTCGCAGAAATTCGAGATCCCATTGCCTGACCTCGTCCGATTGAGAACTGAAACGGCGTGAAACGTTTGAAGTTCTTGAGCCAGGCACCACATACTCTGCGTAGACAGGAACGATCGCCAACAGGTCGCAAACATTCAGAGGCCTTTCGTTCCAACGTTGAAAAATGTTCGCTACTAGGGGCTCCTGGCATCGCTACTAGGAGCAAGAAGCTACTAGGAACAAGGACGCTATTACTCTTTCATTAAGTGGACAAATAAAAACCATTTCGTATCTTTCAGTTCCCAGCTTGAAGAACCAATCTACTGCAGAAGCACCATAAACATCACAAACCTGAGAGAAAGAATCAGCACTGGGGTGGAGGCCATCGCGCTTGCTGTTCACTGGTTTTCACTTGTGTGGTCACTCGTGTGGTCCGTGGTCACTAGGTCGCACCCAGAGTCTCATGAGATACTCCAGGGTGAAACAGCCTAGCGCAAATCGGTGAATGCCCTTGTAACTAGTGGCTTCTAGCTTCTTGTTCCTAGTAGCGATGCACCTTGTTACTAGTAACGTCCTTGTTACTACTAGTAAGGCACTTGTTACTAGAAGCGATGCACTTGTTCCTAGTAGCTTCTTGTTACTATTAGTAAGGCACTTGTTCCTAGAAGTGTGGCACTTGTTACTAGTAGCTTCTAGCTTCTAGTAGTAATGCCCTTGTTCCTAGTAGCCATGCACCTTGTTCCTGGTAGCTCAAGTCCAGTCTGAAAAGAACGTTTTCTCCCAAAGGAGTTTCAAACAATGCCACGATTGAGATTCCTGTAGTGAGGATTTCGATGGACTGCCATAGGTCCTGGAGCAGAGGCATATCGGCATGAGTGCAACTTTTCTGTAGTCACAAAGTCACAACATCAACATGGTTTCCAGATGTTTCCAGTGAACTCAGCTGGGATGTCCGAACCTCTGATGTTGTCTTTTTGAACCTTTGAAAAGTGGAATGATGTTGTCTTCAAGGGCAATATCACGAAAAGTGCAACCTTCTGGTTACTGAGCCACCGACTCAGGACTTGTTTCAAGAATTAAACTTACCAAGCTCAGCAAAATCATCAGGACATTGACGCACGCCTTGGCCCAAAGGGCCCAACTGGCAACTGCGAAGATCACATGTCAAAACAGATCCAGAAGACATGTCGGATCATCCAAGAATTGTTCAAAACTTGAAGATTTGGAAACTGGGCCTCCAACCTACTAGTGATGGCCTCTACCCTAATTCTAATTAAACTCTAATTCGATTTAATTGAATGTCAATTCTAATCCTATTGATTTCTTGTTTCCAATAGCGATGCCCTTGCTCCTAGTAAGGCCAGGAGCCCCTAGTAGCGTCCTAAATCTGGAAACTGGGATCATCAGGCCACGCCCACTGTGAGGACCCTGGGCACATCAGAACCTCGGACAACAAATGCTGCATGAAATCGCGCCGGACTTCGGATGCACGGCGTTTGGGTCCAACAATGAGGAGAGTAGAATTAAATTAGAATTAAGTTAATTTAAAAGCTTCTTGTTACTACTAGTAAGGCACCTGTTACTACTAGCGTGGCACTTGTTTCTAATAGCTTCTTTATGGCCGGGAAGTTTCTTGATGCATTTCTCTTCTTGGGTTCCTCATCAAATAGGCGTGGCAAGCGAACATCAGGATGGAGTGCCAAGGAAACATGAGTCTGGGCACCAACATCGGCAACGAAGTTGGGACTAGAATGTTGAGAGCCCTTTATTGGCAGCTGTCATGTCTGCCGTTCAAAGGTTGGGATGTAGAACTTGGTACCATTGGTACCTACAGAATGTGTCTTTACGGTCGTAAAAGAACCAACAAACAAAGAAAAGAAATGAGCCCAGAAAAGGAAGAAAGCAAAGCGGCAAAGGCACAAACAAAGTATGAAAGTGACGCAGCACAAAAAGCACACAAGGAATGAAATCAGAAGCATTAAATGGCATAACAAGGGCACCCCAATTCGCCCTCTTCCCTGAGGTCGCATCTGGCATCTGGCTCTTCTAAGATCCAATACAACGACCTTCGAATCCTCAGCAACAAATGTTGTTGGATTCTTGTGAATGTGGCAGAAGATTGGAGGCCAGCGCTCGTAGGTTGGAGGCCAGCGCTAGTAAGTGTCACTTGTGAATGTCCGGTTCTTCAGCACCTCAGCACCATGCTCCTGCACACTCTCCGGGTAGACCGAGGACTGCACTTGCCTGCGATCTTTCTCGTGACCAAAACATGGTGTAGCAACCGATCATGTCACTGCCATCATTAAGAACCCTGCAAAGAACGAACAAAACCCAGCCCCTTTAAAATATTGATCTTCAGATTCTGTCGATTTGTGAAAGAGTTTCCAAATTCCGTCGGCATTGGCCTCTGACCTAGTAGCTCTTAGGTGGGAGGGATCGCTCTTAGGTTGGAGGCCATCGCTGTTAGGATGGAGGCCATCGCTAGTAGGTTCGAAAGAAAATAACACAGGCGCGAAAGAAACTACCTCGCCACCTCGGGTCTATGCCAGAAGTTTAAGCGGGCTTGTCGCACACTCGGTCGCGAATATGACGGAATGCCCTTGTTACTACTAGCTTCTTGCTACTAGTAGTAATGCCCTTATTACTACTAGCGATGCACCTGTTACTAGTAGCTTCTTGTTACTATTAGTAAGGCACTTGTTACTACTAGCGTGGCACCTGTTACTAGTAGCTTCTTGTTACTACTAGTAAGGCACCTGTTACTACTAGCGTGGCACTTGTTCCTACTTGGGCGGCATTCGAGAATCCGTGGCAGTGTTCAAGGAACTGCTGCACATTGGAAAAGAAGGCACGAAGACACCAAACCTTGTGAGAGGGAGCCAGAGAGGGCCTACGGCATCAGTTTTGTTAGCGGCTGTAATGGCACTTGTACTTCTACATGCTTGTTTTAGGAGCCCATGCATTTGAAAAGCTATTTAAACTGACGTTTGTTCTTCGGATCTTTCCTCCGGAAAACTCGACTCCACAGCCTCAAAATTATCACGACACGTACATGTCCGTCGAACTGTATAACCCCCTCCACCTCATCTCCCAGCCCTGCACAGTCTCCAAACCACTCGAAGGTTGTTGCCAGGCATCACATCCACTTCGAACCATTGCTCTTAGGTTGGAGGCCATCGAGATTAGGTTCCTTTAAAGTCTTTTTTATCCTTAAAGCCCCACCGCACCCGTCCAAACATAAATCTAACATCGATGCTCGACCGCATCTCACACTTTCGTCTTCAGAAAGCACTGACCTTCCGGGAGTCGTTGTAGCGCTATTGTGGAATAAGACTGGAATGGTGATGCTTTTTTAATGCAAGGCCCAAAAGGGCACCAAAAACAACCGCTGGGCTCAGGTCGTTATTTCCGTTTCTGTCTTATTGTACAGATGAACAAGAAGATTGTGTTTGTACCATTTCGTGCCTTGTTATTAATTGTTCTTGTGTCCAACAATGAGAATTACCTTCAATATTATGACCTGACCCGAGAAGAGATGGCTCATGTGCAGATGTCTTTCCAAAGCCATCAGGTAGGGACGTATTTCTTGGAAGACTAAGTCATAAAGCGTCTAAGTCTTAACGCTACTAGTAGCAAAGGGCATCGCTACTAGGAGCAAGGGCCTTACTACTAGGAACAAGAAGCTAGTAGAAACAAGAAGCAACTAGGAACAAGTGCATCGCTACTAGTAACAAGTGCATCGCTACTAGTAACAAGTGCCTTACTAATAGTAACAAGAAGCTACTAGGAACAAGAAGCTACTAGGAACAAGTGCATCG